TTTTTTTTTTTTGTTTTTCTCCGGTACCGGGAACCAAACTCACGACCTTGCGCTTGCCAGGCAGGCACTTTTGCTGCTAATTTTCTGTATGGTTGTAATCAGGAATGCATATTGGAGTTTGTCAAAAGCTTTTTCTGCATCTCTTAAAATGATCATGTGATTTTTTTCTTTGGCTTTTTTGATATGGTGTATTACATTCATTTATGCATTTGCATATATTGAACCATCCCTGAATTCCTGGGATGAATCCCACATGGTCATGGTGTATAATCTTCTTGATGATTTACTGCATTCTATTTGCTAGTATTTTATTCAGTATTTTTACATTTATGTTCATTGGGGAGATTGGGCTGTAGTTCTCTGTTTTGGTTAAGTCTTTCTCTGGTTTTCATATCATGACTCTTCAATGTTTTAAAACTTATTTTAATGGTACAATTTGATCATAATGATCACATTCATCATAGGGAATTTGTACCTGTACGTAATATAGCTTGACTTTTTTCCCCTTCTCCCTACTCTCTTTTTAATCTTTCATTCCCTTTTTATTTACAAAAGCTTTATTTCCATTTTTCCATCTATTTTTTTCCCTAAGTCTGGGAAACTTACAAAATGTCAAGGAGGAAAGGTGAGAGTGCTTGATCTGATGATTCAGCAGCTCAAAAAAGCTTGATTGTTTTAAAATATTACAATCAATAATAGTTTTAACAGTCTTATAATTGTCACAAATACAAGCTCTGAGACAAAGAGAACAAGAAAATACATCATTTAGTTGATTTTTCTAAAAGTGAACACTAAAGCCCTATGTTTCCCTAGGATTCCTGGAAAGTATTTGTTCCAATCCAGTTAGAAACTTTTCAAACATGGGTAACACTGATAGAAGACTATTTAAGGTTCTGCTGGTTTTGGTAAAAGTGAGAAAAATACAATAATTTTTATAATTCATATGGATTTAAAAGCAGTGTTTTCAAAACTGGGTGTGTTTTTGCCCCTGTAAAGCATTAAATCCTACCAAAGATTATAAATACAATAATTTTAATTAATTACACTGCATTTATAAAATATGTGATTATTTCCATTAAAATATTAAGCAACAGGCTTTTGTTTAAAATTTGAGTTCCCTAAGATTGCTAATATCGAAAAATTTATTTATCCTTTTCTGAATATTTTCTAAGAATATATTCTATAATAGCTTTTCAACATTTCATTGATGGGTTGAGGCAAATTAAGTCACAAAATTTATAAAATAAAATGCTTATATAT